CAGCACCATTTGGTGAAGAGGCATTCCTTTCAGAAAAACACAGCACCTCTTCCTGTCCTCCAGCTCATTCATTCTTTCTGTCTCGTCTTTTGCAATATTTCAAGAGCCTTGGTGACTCCATTTAGATATCCCACTGAGAGCCAAACACTCAACAGACACTTAACCAGCATTTTAATAGTGAGTCTCTACTTTAATTACTGTCCTCTGCAGAGAGAAGCTTCTCTGGCCAAGGAGGAGTGTAGAGGGAAATCCTGCAGAACATTGCAGCTGCCTTGAGTTCCTGAGTATTAGCACCTGGACTTTGAACTACATTTCCTGACTGTCACCTTTTATTATGGTTGTCTTCTGTCTAAAGTGTTTGAATCTTATCAGAGTTTTTCCTGAATGGTTCAAAGCCTCTGCAAAATTTGGTTGAAAATTTTGTTGGAAAAAAAAATTGGAAAACCAAGATGCCATGTGTCTGAGGATTACTTTGGATTGTTTCTTTAGGGGAACTTCAGATAAGATGTTTTGGTATTCAGAAATGGACTAGCTTTAGGTGTAAATTGTATTAACAATTTAAAAAGGTCTTTTGCGTAGAAATGGTAATCAGTTCACCAGAAACTGGATCCCCTGCTGCTTGTAATCAAAAGGAATCCTAAAGTGACAATATTTTTTCCAGGGACCTGCACAAAACCAAACACCTACATTTGAGAGAAACAGTAACCTATGGATCTAAGCACAAATATTCAGAAGGCAGTTTAAAAATATATCCCTTTAGCAAAATACCAATAGATCTTTCCCTAGGGGCTGTAACATCCTGAACGTGGGATTTAGATCATGGTATCAATTCTTTCCTGTAGAGTTCAAATTTAAGCAGAAATTCTTCAAATCTAATCAGAAAGCAGATGGTTATCCTATAACGTTTGTGTCATTATTGCATCTGTAAGCATATCTCCCCTGGTGGGTAGGTATTATAGCATTCAGAATCACCACGAGATAATATTATTGATGTTTTTCTACTTCATGGCACCTGCTAGTACTATGAAAGTTACTTGGCATAGAAGAAGTTTCATGTCTGTTCCAACTTGGAATCTCTAAGTCCTGTAACAAAAGTTTATTGTGTCTTCAGCAATGGAAACTTAATCTGAGTTCTGGTCGACTATCAAGAGCAACAGCAACAGGCCTTGTTGTTTCAGAGTATGTGCATCCTCCCTGACCAGTAACACTGAGGGAGGTACTTCATGCTCAGCATTAAGGTTTGCCTTTAATAGCTCAGTCTTCTGTGGAAAACACTGTGCACCCATTGCTCACTAGCCTGCATTTATTTAAGTTATGTATCTATAATCTAATTTTTAAATTTTATTTAATTACTTTTTTAAATTTGTTATACACAGATGACAGTTTCCCCTTCTTCCTCTCCACATGTTCCTGCCTCCTAACTCTCCCCCATCCCCTTTCACCTCTACCCTCTTCCCTATCCACTTCTCCTCCCTCTCCATTTAGAGAGGGGCAGGCCTCCCATGGGTTTGAACAAAGTATGGCACATCATGGGACCAACCTAGGCCCTCTGCATGTGTGTGACAGTTGTGTAGTTTGGTCTCTTTGTAAGGCTCCTAGCAGTGAGATCAGAACCTTTCCCTGGTGCTTAGCTGACTTGTGGTAACCTGTTCCCCATGCTGAATTACTTTGCCCAGCCTTGACTCAAGGGGAGGAGCTCAATCCTGCCTCAACTTGATGTGCCATGCTTTGTTTACCTTTCTTTTTGATTAGCTTACAAAGTGGTGAATTGCCATAGGATCTTCCATACACTGTTAGCTTTGGTTTGCCTATCCCCACCCTCTCCTCTCCTCTGTCACCCAATTCCTATCCTCACTTCAACCTTGAACCACTTAAAACCTCAAACATCTTCACATCAAAAGGGTCCTATTCTCTCTTAACCCCTTAAGATCTTTTTACCCTGTCCATCTCTCAAGCTCATCATACTTTTCCTGACTTTTAGAGACACTCCAAATAAGTCTGACATGGTCCCAGCTTTAGATGAAAAGCTACAGGCAATTGATGGCTACTGACAGAGGAAGACTTAGTCTTCTCCAGAGATAAGTCCCTTGTAGTTTTCCAATCCCAAGTGGACAGCATTGTATACATAAAAGCAACATGAAGTAGACTGAGCAGAATGTGTGTGTGCCTGTATATACATATGTATTATGAAGGTATGCAACAAGAATTAAAAAAGAAAATGTGAATTTGAGAGGGAAGGAGGAGACACAAGAGGAGCTAGAAAGGAGACTAAGAAGGTCGAAATGATATAAATATGGTATGGGCATAGAAAATTCTCAAAATTTATTTAAAAGAAACTTTAAAATATAACAAATTAAACACTCATATCTAAACATATCGATCATACAGAACATATAACATATGATGTATGGTATATAGGACAGAGAAAGTATGTCATTTGTATTTCTGAGCATGATTATCTCACTAAGTAAGATATTTCCCATTTCCATTCATTTCCTGTGGATTTTTTATTGGCTTTTTCTTTTTTATGTGTATTGTGATGTGTGTGTGTGTGTGTGTGTGTGTGTGTGTGTGTGTGTGTGTGTGTATCTTTATGTGTACTGGAGCATACATATATGGGGTTTGCACTGTGTATGTTTGTGAGCACCCTAAATTGAGATCTGGAATCTTGCTCAGTTGTTCTCCCATATTCAGTGAGGCAGAGGCTCTCATTCATGCACAGAGCTTGTCAGTGGACCAAGTCTAGCTAGCCCTCTTACTATGTGGGTCCCTTGAGTCAACTTTCTGAACTGTGAATAACAGGGGCCACAATACAAGTGCAGTGTGCACAGGGATTCTTGGGATCCATATAGAGTTCATAAGTTTTTTCTTCAACCACATTAACTTGCAGCACCAGATAGTCTTAAAGTGAGACTCTTTAAAGAACTAAAGAGGATTTAGATGTGTGCATGGTCACAGATACATCCCAGCTGGAAGGTCTTGGAGAGCATAGCCTAGAAAGAGCTGAGTCCTCTCATGGCACCTCAGGAAGACATGGCCTGAGTCAGGCAGATCTTCGCAACAGACATGAGCCTGCGATGGTAGAAGTCTTCCAACAGAAGACAATGAGATCAGATCAATAGATCCTGGTTTCAGAGGCAAGTCGGCCCCTGAAGCCAGTCTCTAAAGGGTAAATTGTGTGAATTGATGCTGCACTCTGTGCTCTCACCATATATTCAACAGCACCTTGGCAAAGGAAACTGCCTTGTACTTTGAAGATACTGTAATTGCTGAGAGATGAACTTGGACTCTAATCCATGGGTCATTCTCCTGTCTGTCTTGTCTTGAGTTCTTTACAAAGGAGATGCAGATAAGAGATCTGTGGTCAGGTCCATAACTGGAGAGAAGACTCCCCAGATGCACCTGTTGGGGCAAGGAGGGTAGGATAAGATGGAGGAAGCCTGCAAAGTGTGCTGTGCAAATGGTGGAGCAGGTTACATCAAGAGCAAATGTGTCAGTTTGTTTTCCATTGCCAGGAACAGAGACTGGGTAACTTTTGTTATTCTTGTTGTTTATTTGTTTGTGTAATTGATTGAGTGACTGATGGATTATAGGCCAGGATGCTTCCAAACTCACCATATAAAAATGGTGGCCCTGTGCTCCTGATTTTCCTATCGGCGAATCAATCCCACACCAGTTATGTTTTAAGGGGTTATTTATTTTGGGGGGTAAAACTTACATACACCATAAACCGTCAGGAAGGAAGCCTAGTCGTAGGAGCCGGGAGCAGGAGCCAGGAGCAAGCACCGGAACCAAGAGCCGGAACCAAGAGGGTCTGATCCGGATCTGCTTCTCTTTTTAAAAGAGAAATATACCACGTCCCAGTGGGCTGGTATTTCAGCAGCTATTGGCTGACGGAGCGGAAGTCGCTCCCCGCTGCACTGTGGGCTCGTATTTCAACGACTATTGGTTGAGGCAGCGGAAGTTACTCCCACAACATTTTCCTGCCTCTGTCTTCTGAGTGATGAATTAAAGGATTTTTTTCTTTCGAACTTGTATGTCTAACTACACTCTGAAGTCTAGAAGTCCAAGGGTAGAGACTGTGAGTGCCCTGCTTAAAAAAATGGTATACAGGCAACCAGGTGCCTGCAGGAGAGAAAAGGAACCCCTGCTTACAACAGCTTGCCTATTCTTAGATGAAAAGTATTGGTCAACTATTAAGGGGCCTACCGCCATGACTCCAAACACTTACACTGAACCCTTGTCCCTGTACTACTGCACTGGCAAGTGAATTTCAACACTAGTTTCAACATAAATTTCAGTGGGAACTAAAGACATACAACAGTGGTCACAGACAAGTCTTGTTGTTAGCAATATCTGGAATGGAATGAAATATATGCCTGAAGTTGCCAGGCTTAGAGACAGGGGACTAAGTTGATGCCCCAAAACATTTACATTAAGGCATCCTAAGATCATCCCATCAGACCCAAAATCTCAGGACTTACAGAATGATGTTGTGAGTACTAAGCTGAAGAGGGATAATGGGATAATATCAGAAACAGACATTGGCTCTACTGTCTCTAATCTCCCCAGTACTCCATGGCCTCCTGTAGGAGAGACTACAGCCCCCAAATTACAGATGGGAAAGCTGAGCTCAGTGGAGCTACTGGATCCCACAGACAGAATGAGGACAGAGCTGTGTCTGTGAACTCACCCTTTATACTCAGCCCCAAGAGCAGGTCTGGCCCAGAGTAAAACATCAATAAATATATGAAGTATGAATTAACATCATACAGCATTATTATAATTATTATTAAAGGGAAGACATAAGCTATACTCTTGTGCTCTAAAGCTCACATTCTTAGCACCCAAGACCCAAATCCAATATGTTGTACAGCTCAGAGAGATGCCTATATTCTTCAAGTTGTTGAAGGGTTGAAGGAAGAAAGGAAGGAAAGAACAAATTAAAAATAAAACCCTAATATATTCATTTATACTCCATCTTTCTCTCCCTTATTTAGGAATCATTTCAGAAATACATCAGAGCAGAAGAAGAGAAACCCTTTTCCCCATGCAGATCTGGAAAACAAATGATTTGCTGCAAAATTTCGCACAGCTGCTACTTCTACAAAAACCTTGCCCAAGAGGCCGGGAGACCTTGCTCTGCAAAAGCTGGCGTAAATATAAAGGAGAGGAGAGAGGACATCTGATTGAGATCCAAGACTTATTTTGCCCAAGCCAAGATATCCAGAAAGAGCCTCAACTTGTTGTATTAGAGGGGGTTGCTGGGATTGGAAAGTCAATGCTGGCTAGGCAGGTGAGGAAAGCATGGGGGGAAGGCCAGCTCTACAGGGATCGCTTCCAGCATGTCTTCTACTTCAGCTGCAGAGAGCTGGCCCAGTGCAAGCAGCTGAGTCTGGGTGAGCTTATAGCAAAAGACCAGACTCTGTCTGCAGCTCCCATGAGGGAGATCTTGTCTCACCCTGAGAAGCTGCTCTTCATCCTAGATGGCATAGATGAGCCAGCATGGGTCTTGGAAGATAAAAATCCAAATTTCTGCCTGCACTGGAGCCAGCCACAACCTGTGCACACACTGCTGGGCAGTTTGCTTGGGAAATCTGTCCTGCCTCAGGCTTCCTTGCTGCTCACAGCTCGAACCACAGTTCTGAAGAAGCTCATTCCTTCCTTGGGGCAGCCACGTTGGGTGGAGGTCCTGGGCTTCTCTAAGTCTGAACGGAAGAAATACATCTACAAATACTTCACAGAGGAAAGCGAAGCAATGGCAGCTTTTAACTTGGTTAAATCAAACCCAGTGCTCTCAACACTGTGTGTGGTGCCCTGGGTGTCCTGGCTGGTCTGCACCTGCCTGAAGCAGCAGATGGATCAAGGACAAGACCTCTCACTGACCTCACGGACCACCACAGCCCTCTGCCTGAAATACCTTTCCCAGACTCTCTCAGGACATGCCCTGGGGTACCAGCTCAGAGCACTCTGCTCACTGGCTGCTGAGGGAATCTGCCAAAAAAAGACCCTGTTCAGTGAGAGAGATTTTCAGATCCAAGAATTGGCAGATGGTGTCATTGCCACTTTCCTGAAGACTGGTATCCTTCAAAAGCATCCTGAATCTCTGAGTTACAGCTTTGCCCACGTGTATCTCCAGGAGTTCTTTGCAGCAATATCCTATGTATTGGAGAATAATGTGCTAAGACTTGGTTATATGAATGTCTACAGAATTGTGGAAGCACTAAAGGAAGTCTATGGAAGACATGACCTGTTTGAAGCACCCACTGTGCGCTTCCTATTTGGTCTTTCAAGTAAAAGAGGAATAAGAAAAATGCAGAAGATCTTTGCCTGCAGTTTGCTTCAGGAGACAGGGTTGTACCTACAACGGCACATCCTAAAGGAAACCCAACACCATCAACCCTATACTCTGGGTTTCCTCCATTGTCTGTATGAGACTCAGGATGGGGACCTCCTGACAGATGTAACACACATTTTTCAGGGAACAACAGTGCATGCCTCAGTGGATACAATATACCCAGTGTTCCAGACAAACATTAACCACCTGGTGGTTCATACAGATGTGGAACTCATGGTGGTCACTTTCTGCATTAAGTTCTGCCACCATGTGAAAAGGCTTCAGCTGAACGCTTGTGGACAACAGGAACAAACACCGGTGGCCCCCAGTATGGTTCTGTGAGTATCCAAACACAGCCCTCTCTCCAGCTTCCCTGTGGATTGAATGAGCACACGTGTTCTGAGCACCAGTAGTACTCTTAGTTGGTTTCAGGTCATCAGGAAACAGGACACCAGCGAGATGTAACTGCTGAATCTGAGCACCTTTCTCTGCCTCTGTGTGCTTAACTATGCAATTGAGGTATGAACTTGGTAAGGGCCACCCGCCTTCTCTGATTCAAATCCTCTTCGCCCTTCACAAATGACCCACAGTTACTGGTCCTCTCACTCGTCATGCTTTCTCTCTGAGAGAAACCTCATCCAACTCCTGCAGGCACCATCTTCCCTCCCCATGACAAGTACCTTGGACCTGAGGCCTTCCCACCCCAGAAGGCTTATTCATTAGAGTTCCTGTATTTTTCCTGATCAGATGCTTTTCTTTTGTGTGTCAATGAAGGCAGATTGAGCCTGACACTCTGCTTGAGGGTGTCCTAATGTCCACCGATCCCAGCAGCAATGTAGACCTTGTATTCCAGGGCCCTCTTTCACTGTGCAGAAGTGGTAAACCGTTTCAGTATGTGTCTCTCCCCTTTCTAGATGATTCATTAAGCACTGATTTTATACCAGGGCCTGCCAATCAATAGCAAGAGAGAAATACAGTTGTTCTCCAAGGATTTAAAACTGGAAGAGAAGAAAGTCAACTACTCTAATTACACAGGGTGGGACTGTTGAAATATTCAGAAACAACAGTTATCTAGTGTTGAGGACTTTGACACCAAGCTGAAAACACAGCAAGAGCCCATGTGAAAAATAAATAACTTAAAAGTAGTGGAGCAAAGGTTAGAGAACAGGAAGAGGATGAGGGGAGGAGGGAAAACTGGTCAAAGAAAACAAATGTCATTAACCGGTATTATATACATGTAGGAAGTTGTCTCAATAACTCTCATTTTATATTCATAGGATGAAATAATAAAAAAAATACTTGCTGTAGAAGACTGAGGATTTATCAGTTATCAAAACAACAGAAAGTTAGTATCCTACAGAATTCCATTTCTTAGAGAGCAGCATTAAATATTGTGTTAACTGAGCTTGATTGGGTACATGTCATCCCTAACTCAGAAGGTTGACACAAGAAGGTCAGAAGTACCAGTCTAGCCTGGGCTACATAGTGTGATGTTGTCTCAAAATGTCATTGACTAAGGATGATACTCATTTGGTAGAGAGATTGCCTACTCTGTTGGATAATTTTCTGTTGCTGTGATAAAGCACCATGGCCAAGGCAACTTATGGGAGAATTTATCTGGGCTTCTGGTCCAGAGGGATCAGGGTCCATCATGGCAGAGGGAAAGGATGATGACTGGAGCAGCAGCTGAGAGCTTATTTCTTGAACCACAAGCAGGAAGCACAAAGAATATACCGGGTGTTGCTCAAGGCATTGAAATCTTAAACCCTATCCCCAGTGATATATTTCCTCCCATAAAGCCATACCTAACCCTTTCCAAAGAGAACCGCCAGTTAAGGATCAAGCATTCAAATTTGCATGTCTAGGTGACCTGTCATTCAAAACACCTCACCTAATAAGCCCAAGACCCTAGGTTTGATCAACAGCATGAAAAAAGGAATATGACACCCCCTTTGTTTTTTTCTGTATATAATTTTCTATGGGATTCCTGAGCCACACAATTTCTGTTATCTTATATTCATGTTTATTTGCTTAATGAATCAAGACTGTCTTCTCTGGTACTAAAGGTTTAGTACTCACCATTCTGAATAGCCGTCTGATATTGCCTAGAGAGAATTTCTTAGTGAATTGGTTTCTTCCTGCTCTTGGCCAGTATAAGTTGTTTCTAAGTGTCTGTGGTTATAAAGAAGTGAGCCTTGAAGGACCTTGATACAGATGATGGAAATAGAGGTGGCCTGGTGTGGAGCTTCAGAAGAATTCCAAGTATGTACAGAGACAGAGACCAGATAGGGCCAGAGAAACAAGGAACACCAGCCTGCTTGCAGGGACAGTAACCTTCAGAGCCTTGGGACAACCCCATGGGATAGGGAGAGGCTTTGACTAATAGTGACATAGAAAAATTGAGGGGGAAATCAGACAAGGCAGGGAGAGAAGTAGGAAGTCATTGCATGTAAGGAAAATGGGTGGACCTTGGTTAAAGTTAAGGAATAAAAGATGGCAGGTGAGTGTCTTAGTTCGGGTTCCTATTGGTTTAAAGAGACATCATGACAAGAAAACCTTTGATTGTGGGGACTCGCTTTCAGTTTAGAGATTCATCCCATTATCATCACAGTGGGATAGGGCAGTTTACAGGTAGAGACAGCACTGGAGAGGTAGCTATTACATGTTGATAAGCAGGAAACTAGAAGTAGACTGTCTCACTGGGTGTGGCTTGAGCGTATATGTGACCTCAAACCCTGCCTCCACAGTGATACACTTACTCCAGCAAGACCATTCCCTCTCCAATAAGACCACAACTTCTAAAATTGAAGCTCGCTTTAGGGGCCATTTTCTTTCAAACTACCATAGTGAGAAACTTATGTATGTGACTCATAGTGATGCCTCTTGTTTCGTGATAGCACATTCTGAAGTTCCACTCTCAGTCAGTGTACATGCTAAACATGCATCCAAACTACCATCCTGTGGGAACTGAGAGTCTGGTTCCACCGTTAAGAGAGCCTGATACTCTTGCAAAGGATGTGGATCCATTCCCAGCACCCACAGCAGGTGGCTCACAACCACTATTATCTATATTTCCAGAGGATCCGATGCCCTGCTTCAAGTCTCTGCAGGTTTCTGCATGCATAGAGTGCACACATACAAGCAGGCATACAAACATACAGTCTTGGGGCTTGTATTGCTATGAAGAGATACCATGACAACGGCAACTCTTTTTAAATTTTTTTATTTATTTTATTTTTCTTATTTGAAACGAAAACAAACTATCTTTTTTTTTTAATTTTACTTACCAATCCTAGTTCCTTCTCCCTCCTATCTTTCCATTACATCCACCTTCCTTCCCACTCCACCCCCATCCATTCTCCAGGGAGGGTAAGGCATATTGCTAGGGGAAAGGTTCAGTGCCCTTTATACTATATCAAGGCTAAGTAAGGTTTCCATCCAAAGAGAATAGGTTCCATAAAAGTCGTTACAAGCAGTAGGAATCAGTCCTGGTGCCACTGCCAGTGGCCCTCTAGTCTGCCCCAACCACACAACTATCACCCACATTCAGAAGGACTAGTTTGGACCTATGCTGGCTTCTTCCTTGTCCAGCTGGAGTTGATGAGCTCCCATTAGCTCAGGTAAGCTGTTTCAATGGGTGTTCCCATCACGGTCTTGACTCCTTTGCTCATATTCTCACTCCTCCCACTCTTTAACTGAACTTGGGGAGCTCAGCTCACTGCTCTGCTTTGGATCTCTGCCTTCCATTTCCATCACTTGCTGGATGAAGGTCTTGTCTTATGAGGGATTTAAAAGGAATCATAATCCTAAACTGCTGGAGAACCCCCCCCCCCAAACAAAACCCCAAAATTGTGTACTTGGGACATATCTGAGTATATTAGCTGCTTCCACCTTCTGCCCTGTATTCTCCCAGGAAGGAAAAAGGCAATTTACACTGACTCACAACTAAGTAAGCATTTTGAACTGATACTTTGTAATAAGAAATTGTAAATTCTGGATTATCTATGACTCACAGAGTCCAGTGTTTCTCTGCATTCTTTGAGTCACCTATAAAGTTTTGTTTGGACTCATTTTTACCATAAATCTAATAATATTAGCTCAAATGGCATTCAACAAGGTAATAGTGATCTAAATCCATTTTAAATATTAAAATGTATTTTCTATACTGGAAAACTTGTAACTCTTTCTTGGGACTATGAAGTCAAATTATTTTCTGAATATAAAAAACAGTTAATTGGCTGAACTTTGAGTCTTCAGGATACATGCCTGAAGAGGACATTTCCACCCGCACCCCAGGTCTGTATCACCACCCATCTGGTATGGAACGCGACTCCATACCTTCCACGAGCTAGGTAAGGTCCTAGGGGTTAAAACACAAGATGCACAACACAGAGATAGAGAGTTCGAGTCATTCTCAAGAGGAGAGAATGCCCGTTTATTTAAGCTTAATCCGGGGTTAAAATTCCCTTTGGCCCCAGTAATGGAAACCCCTCCCAGCCAGAGGGGGATGGGGAAGCTGGCGCTGAGTGAGCTTCTCCACAGGCAGGAGGTTGAAGGGTGTAAGGCAGAGTCAGACAGGTAAGAGGTACCTTGGTGCCTGGGCTTTTCCAGGCAGGTTAAGAAAATTACCATTTTAAAGTAATATAAAGCCCTATGCTATTATACCAGGCTAGAGCAGAACAAGCATGGAACTAGCAGGAAGCTTTAGCTGGTTAGCCAAAACAGTCCTTGATTTGCATCCCAGGGAGCAAGGGAGGGCCCGGGCCTTACACATGCCCATAGAAGAAAACGGAGGTTTGGAACTTGTGAAGAGAGTTAATCGCTGTCCTAGGTTTCCAATCAGACCTAGCAAAAGATACTGCACGCAGCACTTAGGTTGCTCTGCACTTTCAACCTTAGTTTGACAAATAAAAAAGCTGGCTCTAAGTCCTTGGACACAAAATTGCCTTTCTTGGAATTGTTTATCTCAAAAACCATTAGCAAGGCACATGCTCTAATCTAAAACTACTTTGAAGCTATTGCACAGCTGTTCTGGTAGTTGGGGAAAATTCGGTTATTTTTATAGGCATTGCCTGTGTATCATTTTTACATGCATTTTTATTCATTAAAACTCTGTGTAAGCTAACATTAGACAATACAGCTTAAGGATGAGTATTCTTCTTGACAATCACCAGATAAAAATGCTGAGTAGGTCAGTATGTATTCATCAGATAAACATGCTATGATGCAGGGAAATTTGCAGTAGCACATATGAAGTTACAGACAGAGACAAAAGATATTCCAGAGTCTGTAGCGTGGCCTGGAAAAATGAGGTTTCCCATCAGAGAATGACTTTCTGGTAGGTGGGAACCTTAACTATTAACTATCATCTGCTGCTCCTTTGACAATGGCACCAACACACCTAGACTGATTCAGAAACAGACACACAAAATGGGCACACAGAATGCTATGATAAGGATGTAGATGAGGAACCACTCAGGAAAGGATCCAGATGTTGGAGCAAAGGAGCAGGTAGAAGCTGGTGAATCCTGGGGATGGCATATTGAGGCGTGGTTCTCAAGCAGATAGAAACCTAGTCTGCCTTGTGAGGCTGTGCACATCAGACCATGCACACATGAATCACGTCTACCAAATATCTCTCTCCCTCAGGTCCAGGTGGACTCCGATCACTGATGCCACTTGGCAGATATTCTTCTCCACTCTTGAGTTCACAGGAAGTCTGAAGGAGCTGGACCTAAGTGGAAATGAACTGAGCTACTATGCAGTGCGGAGTCTCTGTAGTACCCTGAGATGTCCTGGATGTCAACTAAGGACATTGTGGTGAGTCTGGTTTGGATTCTTTCCTGAAGCAGAGATGGATGGCAGGAAAACAGAGGCAAAAGCTGGGTCTAGGGTGAGGTTTCATATCCATTGCAGATTCATCAAAGCCTCTGGCTACACCTATGGCAGAGGCCAGAATGTTATGTTAAAGAAATGGAAAAGGGATTCTATTCTTAGAGATCATGGAATACTGATATTCAACAGGGAGGCCCACTAGCTTTTGCTAACAACAGGCCCATTAGGGCTTCAGTGGAGCAAACATCCTGAGGAAGTGGCTGCAGCAGAGCTGAAGAGCACAGAGGAGGAGGCTAAATGAAGCAGAGGGAAGAAAGCTCCAGGCCCAGGGAATGGCATCCCCACTTCCTCCTGCTCTCTCCCTTGTAATCAGCCTTTTGCTCTGTTTCTATGGACTCCATATTTACTAAGATTTCACATAACAAGTGAGTCATGTCCTTATTCTATTGGTGAATGTCACTTTAGATGACTCTTGAAATACACCAGTGAGCTGTCCTGAGTCTCATGGAGGTCTGTCATGGCCAGTCACAGCAGAGCAGTGGGTCTCAACCTGTGCTCCATGATTCTGCAGCTCAGCTGTGGTTAGCATGGAATTGTCTACCCAGACTAGAAAAGGCACTAGAAAAGCTAATCACTGCTAACACCGCATGCCAGGGCTCACAAAGGGAGACCATAGAACAGGTCTCAGGAGCAGTGATCCCTGGAGAATCTGATGGTGAGCATCTCCCATACAGGCTTGTCAACTGTGGCCTCACATTCAGGCACTGTGCGGACCTGGCCCCAGTGCTCAGTGCCAGCTCCAGCCTGACTGAGCTAGACCTGCAGCTGAATGACCTGGGAGACCTTGGTGTGAGACTGCTGTGTCAGTGGTTCAGGAGTCCTGCCTGCAACCTCAGAATCCTGCGGTAAGTAAGGCTCCAGGATGCCATTCTTGAGAGGGGGAAAGAAGGGACATGGGGGTGTAAAATATATGGGATATGGAAAAGAAATGGGACAGATAACACATAGTCAGCATGGCTCCTGACCAGCTGTGCCACTTATACCTGAGACTTGGGCAAGTCACCGTATTCTGTAAAATTCAGTTTCCTCATCTATCAGGTGGAATGCCACACCCACCTCATGGATTCTAATGACATAAAGTGTACATATGTAAAAACAAATACCAGGTAGGTATCTGGGTACTGTCCAGTCATATGTACTAGCAAGGCTATTACCTTACCAGACCCCCAGGTTTGCCTTGCTCCAGAACAGTGATTCAATCATTTATTCATTCATGAATACATATGGCCACGCATTCATATCAAGGACCCTCTGTGCTAAGCACTAGGGATACAATCACAAACACACAAGGTTCTCTTCTGCTAAAGCTGTGTGGGAAGAGACAAATAAAGATCTCCCATCAGCCCATGACACTATTGCCAAACTCTGTTGAAGGCTATGAAGTCAACAGTATTGTGAGAATGATGGTTGTAAGAGGGCATTTACAACAATTTATTTATTGTCTATTGGATGGCTCATGAGTGCTTTCCCTAGGCCTGATAGAGAAATAGGCTTTGGTTTGGCCAACCTGGAGACAACAGTCTAGGCAAAGGAAGAGTTAGAGAAAGCTCTAGAACAGAAAGTGGCTGTAGCCCTGGGGGCTCATGGGGTTTCACTATAGGAGCTTGACATGGTCCTCTGTCCAGAATGTCTATGGGGATATGGCCATGACCTCCATCTACTGGGAATGCTGATAGCAACTCTGTGACTCTTTGTCAATATGAATCCCCTCATCTACGTCCATGTTCCCTTCCCTGGGAGAGTCTATTTTCAATGACTGACATGTGGGGAGGGATATAAAGGGCCAGCCCTCATTTCAGCTCTGGAAAGTTCCAAAGGTCCTCATCCTGGCTTCAGATCTCCCTGCACACTGACCACGTTCCACTAGGACTGACTGTGTCATTGTCACGTCTCTGTCTGCTAAGCCTGATGTTCTCCATTATTTGTCCTGGATTTGGCTTAAGAATGAACTTAATAAAGCCCCTCACTTTTCATCTATAGACAACAGTGTCAAGGATCCTGGACCCTGAGGCTTCATGATTCTGTTGTGGATCCCAGGAAAAATAGCCCCTTCTTGTGTTTGCAGGCTGGACCAGGCCCCTCTCAGTGACCCAGTGATTATGGAGCTCAGGGTCTTAGAGGCAGAGAATCCGCAGCTGCTCATCTACAGCACATGGTAAGGAGTGAACACATAATTACTACTGGTCAACTCAGCCTCTATGTGGCTTTGAGAGCCACTGGTCTAGATTTGAGCAGGAAAGGGTGACATAGGAAGGCCTGGAGGCGGACAGGGGCCACAGCAAGAACTAAGAGCCACCCTAAGAACCTTCTGTTTCTCCCCAGAGGAAATGAGGAAATGAGGAAATGAGAGGCATTTCAGCACCTCGGTCATGAATGGACAGCCTCACCTTTTTTTTTTTTTTTTTTTTTTTTTTTTTTGATTATACCCGAGAGAGATTTTACTTAAAGGATTTTGTTTTGTTTTTTTTTATAGTTTTTTGTTTGTTTGTTTTGTTTTTCTTAATTTATAAAAATTTCCACTTCCACCCCTCCTCCCAATACCCTCCCACTCCCCCCACTCCCTCTCCTCCTCCCTCTCCATCCAGCCCTAAGAGCAGTCAGGGTTTCCTGCCCTGTGGGAAGTTCAAGTTCCTCCCCCCTCCCTCCAGGTCTAGGAAGGTGAGCATCCAAACAGACTGGATCCCAAAAATCCAGTGTATGCCGAGGAAACAAGTACCAGTGCCATTGTCAATGGCTTCTCACCCTTTTTTATGATCAGCTACTATGTAGAAAATGAACTAGCTGTGAATAAATCAGAAGCAGGGACACCTGCCAGAGGATACCGCAGAGGATAGGAACAATGTTCCCTCTATCCTGGGACAAGGATGGGGTCTTTGGGGGGGGCAGAGTAGTGAACATAAAGAGAGAGGTTTAGAAGGTCCTATCTTGGTGCTTAGCATTCAAGGTAAATGATTATTAGTTTGTTTTGTGCAACTATAACACAATGTCTGACACTGGGCACTTAATATCAAGAATTGAGATTTTTTTCTTGCAGTTATGGATACAGGGAAGAACCAGGGCATGGACCCTGCATCTAGAGAATCCTTCTTCCTGTCCCATCTGATTGTGCAACTGGGAGGTTTGAGAGTAAGAGACCAATGTGGCTTTTGTGACAAGTCCTGTCTGGGCACAGATGTCTACAGCTGTGACGATGTCATTAACCCCTTCATGACAGCAGAGCACTCGTGACCTCATTGTGTCTTATCCTTCACCCTGTCACACTGTGACACTGGGGATTGACTTTCTAATGAGTAAGCACTGGGGAACACACTCAAACTAAAGCAAAGGAGGGGTTGAGATGATCCCTGTTCTAGCAGCATGGATGCCTGGGAGGATGGGGACTTCATAGAGTTCTGGTCCAGAAAAGAATCATGAAACCGAGTTCAAATTCAGATGAGTTGTATTTTATGTCACAATATTGTGTACACAGCTCTGGTTTCTATGGTTTCTCCTGACATCTGAAAAAAATAACATGTCTGTGCATAGGAAGCCACGTGTGTTGGTCCCTAGTAAGGACCCAGGTGGAGAAGGAGTGGATGGCAGCCTGACCTCATTCAAGCAGCAGAGACTACAGTCAGGTACGGGACAGATTCAGTCCCAGACCATTACCATTATAATTGTCAAAAGAAGGGAAATCTATGGGAGGAATTCATCAATTCTTTTCTTTTCTTTTTTTTTTTGAGGTGGGGGGAGAAAAGTCTTTATTTGGCTTATACTTTCAGGTCATAATCCATCATTAAGACAAGTCAGGGGGAGCTCAAGGAGGAACTAGAAGGCAGAAGCCATGGAAAAAAGCTGCTTACTGACTCCCTCTATTGCTTCATGCTTAGCTGTTTTCTTATACATCCCAGGATTGTATTGCCCACAATGGACTGGGTCCTCACGTATCAATCTTCACTCAAGCCAGTCACTCACAGACACAGATACAGGCCAATCTGATGGAGGCAATTCTTCAGTTTAGATTCCTTGTTCCTAGGTGACTCTATGTTGTATCATGTGAACAAAAAATGACCACACAAAAAGTCCCTTTACAAATTGACTTTGGAAATACTCAGATGGCTTACAGTGCTACCATAAAATCATAGAATTTGGGCTGAAATACATGCCAGATCAAAGATTTTTATCAGGCAGGGTACATGACTTGTTCACCAGAACCACTCTAGTTGTTCTATACAATAACAGCTAAATGCCCCTTTTTCTACAAGGGAGGCAAAATTCTGAATCAGAGATATCTCAAAAACTTTTAAATAAATATACTCTACTTTGCAGGTCAGAAGAGTGATTAGTCAAGAAATGACCATACTTTTGGACAGTGGAAGATACTCTGAACCCAAATTACTTAAATTGACATGATCCAGACTGAGTGGGTATAACCAAATGACACAGGAGTCACATAGAGGAGTAATTGAAAAAATAAAAGAAAGAAGTGAATTCATTCTTTTATTTTTTTTAGAATTTAATACACAAGTACTACAATTACATCATTTTCAGCCCTCAGTCTGCCTGCTTCAACAATTCCTGTGTCCCACCAACCAACTCTGTCACAAATTCATGAGTTGTTCTTCAATATTATTGCTAAATACATGTATATTTACATACATGTGTGTATGTAAATACAACCTGATGAGTCCATTTACTATTGGTCATATATATGTTTCAAGTTGACCACTTGGGACTGATAGCCTATTAAGAATCTCTTCCTGGATAATACTGATTTTATCCCTCTCCTACAAGCTATTAGTTGCTTGTAAGTTTTCATTTAGGAATGGGTCATTGTGAAATCTCTCACATTCACTTATCAACTAGTGTTATCATTGTGATGAGGAGAAGATATTATTGAGATTTCATTAGCACAACTTCAATGTTTTATACAAAAAAACCATTATTTGCTGCAGATGTTCTTGAAGTGGTCATCATTTCTATCCCCCTGCCTCTGACTTAGAAGGAATACTGTTTCCTTCTCTCCCTGCCTTGGTGGGGACCTGCTGATGACCATTTCTCAAGTCTGTGACTTGCATCCAGCTCTATAAGAGAACTCTGTGTCTCGTTCATAGATGCTGTGGCCTGGGACTCATCTCCCTATCCCTGCTCATCTATAGTTTGAGCTACGTTATCCTCTCTCTCTCTCTCTCTCTCTCTCTCTCTCTCTCTCTCTCTCTCTCATACCCACTTGAGACATACTAGCAAAATCAATATATATGGATCAATAAGAAAAAAAACACTGCAGCTGGCATGAAGGCAGGTATTATAGTGGGATAGCTGCTTAAGAAGCACAGTGGAAAGACAATAAAACAAAAGGCAGATTATATATATATATATATATATATATATATATATATATATATATATATATATA